AGCAGTCAACCAATAAGGAATCTCCACACTTAATGGCTCGCTGGCGTTACTTCACAAACCACTCCCTCTGGCATTTTGCCAGGCGCCATCCAGACTTGTTTATAGACTCTAACACTTTTCCACGCTAGCATATCAATTTATCCAAAATTTTGTTTCAGGTATCTATTTGTCAGATTTAACATACATTGATTCGGCATACCCATCAACTGGCAGCATTCTAGAAAATGAGCAAAGATCAAATTTAATGAATAACATCCTTCGAATAATTTCTGATTTACAGCAGTCCTGTGAATATGGTAAGTTTCTGGGGAACAGTTCTGTCTAAGCCCTTACTGTGCTGTGTGATTCCACTGATTCACTGACACATTGATGACCACTTCTCATGCAGCAGGGAGCATCAATTTCTCATCTCCACTATAACATAAAGGAAAATAAGAGTTCTTTTGTTTGTCCATTTACTATGTAACCACTTCCATATTCACCCGGGCATTGAACCCAGGGATTCCTTACAAATGAGCTATTCCCCCTGTCCTTTTCAAGATTGTTCTTAAAGAATTGGAGAATTTAGTGTTTGATCTTTCACTTTTTTAAATCTTTTTGCTTTTCTGCTAACAAAGCACAGGGGCAATAAGTAATATTACCACCTCACAGTTATTCTAGCCCTTTATGAAAATTCACAAAATTATTTTCTATTGTCTTGATCTCATTTGCTCTCTGCAGTCTATAAATAGTTGATATGTTTCCCAATTAGGAAAGTGGCTAAGACCATTGTTCCTAATAACAGTTAGGAACTGTTATTATTATTAGCTTTCTTAAGTCAGATATTGAGTAAACAAACAATTTTGTTCAAGGTGTATTTTATGGAATGATGTAAGACAGACTAATAATAAATAAGCCTAAATGATTAGAAAGGAGAATTTTAAGAAAATGTTTGAATGTTTTTATTTTGATAGGGAATAAAGTTAGATTGTTGATGCATAATTTTTATGGTATTAAAAATAATGTGTCAGGCTGGGGCTAGGGCTCATTGGTAAAGCACTGGCCTCGAATGTATAATGCACTGGTTCCATCTTCAGCACCACATTAAAAAATAAGTAAAATAATAAAGTTGTAAAAGTTTACATTATTTTATTTTAAATAAATGTGTTTTAAAGCTAACTTTGCATATATACATCTCTACTTTTAAGAAAACCTCAAAAGCTTCTTAAAAGGGATAGTGGATTGGAGAGAGGGTAATAGGATCTTACTGAAAGTGAAATAATCCTTTATTCTGTTCTTTTCCCCATTTTTGATTTTAAACATAACACTACATTGTAATGTTAACTTAGTCTTACTTGAAATTTATAATAGGAGTGGGAGACACATTTATAAATGGAAGCCAAGTTTTTTAAAAAATAACTGCCTTCACTTTGTGCATTGAGTTGAGGCATTATATGTAAAACAGTGAAGTCTCTGATTATTTTCCATGAAATTTCTCAAATATGTGGGGCTTTGTAATTGGAGCTGTTTTCTATATAAGCAACGTGCACCTACAGCTTTCTAAATTATCTTCGGTACCTCCCACCCAAATTATCTTCGGTGTTATTTTAAATAAAGTTAATCTCAATAATGTCCTTCTAGAATTAATTTTAATTTTGATGCCATATGGACTTAGTTTACCTTTAATTATTTTTCTTAGCTTAATATTGAGAGTTCTCCTTAAGATATACTTTATCTGATAATTACTTATCACCTTTTGCCTAGATATTCCCATGTTGCCTCATGTTCAAAAATACCTGAACTCTGTTCAATATATAGAGGAACTACAAAAGTTTGTGGAAGATGATAATTACAAGTAAGTTGATCTTCAGAATGAATTTGTACTTTGCCCTGTTCTCTACACTTCCATCCCCATCTATTTAAATATCTAAATCCCACAATCTAGTGGTATGTTAACAGTAGTAAAGGTGCTTATATTTCCTTTTAATCACGTGGTATGATTGAACCATTATACAAATACCTGATCTGTTCCTTTATTAAAAAGTATTTTATCCTTCTCAAGTTGTAGAGAGCTGAGGTTTAATAATTCAGATTTTTAATTTCTTCCTTTTGGTATCTTCAATCATTGAATCTTAATGGAAATTGATCTTTTAATAGAAAAATTAAACAGTCTACAAAATAGAAAAATCATTATTCCTTTTTTAAAATATATTTTTTAGTTGTAGGTGGACACAATATCTTTTTTTTCCCCAATATTTTTAGTTGTAAATGGACACAATACCTTTATTTTGTTTAGTTTTTTTATGTGGTGCTGGAGTTTGAACCCAGTGCCTCATGCATAGGCAAGCACTCTACCACTGAGCCACAACCCCAGCCCAACACAATACCTTTATTTTATTTTTATGTGGTGTTGAGGGTCAAACCCAAGTGTCTCATGCATGCTAGGCGAGCCACAACCCTACCCGCAAAAGACTCTTTTTAACAGTTATTTTTGGACACATCTTAGAGTTTGTTTCCAGTTTTCATGGATTGAGAGATTATTGAACCTTACCTCTAGATTATTGATGAGTTGCTCCAATATAGACCTTTTCTCTTTATCATAGCAAGTACTTTATGAAAACTTTAAAAACTCCCCTTGCAAAGACCTGATGCCTTTTCCTCTCTCCTTACCATCCACTGTGTTTCCCAAGGATGGGAATTTTTAAATTGCTATTCCATTACATTTTTCAGTGATACTACTTTACATCATACCTGCTTTTTAAAGGATGGAAGGATTAAGAGCTTATTTCTATAGTGGCTTCTCATTTTTCCTTTAGCTTCATTTGTTAACTTAAATACATATATTTTTTTTTCTTCTTTTTGCCTAGCTCTTTTTTTCTTTTTTAATTTTTCAATAGAGGCAGGATCCAGCTATATTGCCAAGGCTGTTTCTAAATTCAAGTGATCCTCCTGCCTCTTGAGTGGGACTGTAAGTGCACATCACCATGCCCAACCTTTGCTTAACTTCGATAGAATTAGTCCCATTGAAAGCTGAAATTCTGGGTATTTATTAAAAGTATCATTAATGCTCAGAAATACCTTTATTACCATCTTCCCCAACCCCTGTACACACACCATAATACTATCATTTTTTAGTCCCACACCAAATTTCATTTTACAAAAGGCTTTTTTACGTAGTAACTCATTTGAAAATATATGAGGTCAGTTTTTTAAGTCTGGAGTTTGTTTCACAAATCTGTTGTGCTAGGTTGTAAGTTTCTTGAGTTCAATCATCTGTGTCTTTTTTATTTTTTCCACTGTTTTTTCCATCTCTCTTTCGTTACTAACATAGAACTTGTACGTAATAAACACTTAACAATTTGTCCAATGAGCTGTAGAATAGTTGTCTTAAAACTGAAACTTTGAGTATCTATTAAAATTTTCTTTATCTCAAGAAACCTAGATTTTTAAAAAGTGGAAATGAATTCTCAGAAAATTTTGCACAATTATAAAGATGGTAAATTTTTACTGACATCAGTAAAAGTGTGATATTTATTCAAATTTTTATTTTGTTGAAAAGATAGACTTAGCCATTGGCACTATTAAGTAGTTCTGACTGCCCAGAGCTGATGTGTATACCTTCATATTTGTAGGAAGCCTGATGCTGTTATGTTAACTTTTGTTTTTATGAGTTACCAGAACAAGAACAGCCTTCTCATTATATGAATTTAACAAATATTGATGAAGCATTTGCTATGGTCTGATTACTATGTCAGTTGCTGGGATTATAAAAAGGATGTTCTGGCCCTCGAGAAGCTCAGTCTAATGCATCTAAAACAGATGATTTCAGAACATTGAAACAGTACTATAGTAGAGCTATGCCCAGGATGCTACAGCAGCATAGATAAGGGGACACCTGACCCAACTTTAAAAGAAAAGTAAAGGGAATAGAAACATGGATAGCTGCAGGAGACAGTGTCACCTGAGGCTGCACTTAACAGGTGAGTGGCAGCACATGGAGGGACAAGAGATACTCTAGGGATAGAATGAGCAGGAAGATGGAGCAAGAAACTGCTTAGGGAACTCAGGTCATTTGGTGGTGTTGGGACATCTTATGAGAGACTGGAGAAAGATACATTGTTTTTCTGAAAATCAAATTATATTGCATCAGCCTACTAATTAAATGTTGAGAGTTAAGAGAATTTTAAGAGCCATTAAAATTATTAGTTAAAAATGATTTTTATGATGAAGTATATTTAAGTATATTTAAAAAGACTTCATTTATTTAAAGACCTTTGTTTTTCACTACTTCATCTAAATAGCCAGTGTAAGTATACACATTACACACATATCTTTTAGACAGGGTGAAAATCTGTTTAATTTTAATACCGGGCATTATCTTTTCTTGATGAATTGGCATCACTTAGTTTATGGTGCTTTGATGATATTTTAAGCAACAGAGTAGCAGTCACTACTGTGGCCTTTAAGATGCTTCTGCTTTGTATACAGCTGTCATTTATCAGCTCCTACAGATAGCAGTGTGATTCGCCAGGAAGCTCCCCTTTGTTCTTTCTGCTTTGGCACTGGGTTAGGAAATTGTGGTGGTTTTGTTTACTTCTTTGTCTTTCACTTACTGTACTGTAAGCTTCAGAGGGCAGGGATACCACATCTGCCTTCTCCCTTTTACATAATACTGCTGAGCACAGTGCCTAACACAAAGCAGGTGTTCAGTAAATATTTGTCAGATGAATGAATACAGTATAGTTTGTACCTGAATAAACGAACTACCCTAAGAAAAGAAAAGGAGCAGAGAGTTCTGGTTAATCATTCATCTAGTTAATATGTTCATTTTACATTGTCAGATATTTGGAATATAATCATCTTTAATTCCCTCCCAGGTTATCAAGGAAATAATTACTTAAAATAAGAGCCTACATTAGATTTGTTTATCATTGTGAAATTCCAATCAATAGAATCTAAATGGTCTTTATTAATTTTCAAAGTCTTAGTAATATTAGACTTCATTTATTATAACAAAGCATTTTCTACCATTTTTGGTATTCTGTTTCCCAAAATTGCCTCCACTGATAGAAATCATAATTTCTTCTGCTATGAAATTCAAAACTGGATATATTATCCTAAGTAGAATTCAAAGACGTAAAAGGGTTGGGATTATGGCTCAGTGGTAGAGCCTAGCATGTGTGAGGCCCTGAGTTCAAGCCTCAGCACCACATAAAAAGATAAATAAATAAAATAAAATTATTGTGTCCATCTATAACTAAAAAAATATTTTTAAAACAAAGACTAATAAGAAACTTTATTTAGGACATGGACTTACTAGGAATTTTGCAAACAGCCTTTTTCTTTGTATATTCTTTTGATAAGTTGATGCTAGAAATAATTTGCATCATATATTAATACTACATGTGAAGATTCTTAATTTAGTGGCACCTTTGGGATGTTAGGGAGACATTTGTGTTTTTAAATATAACATTTTGTGGCTGTCATTGTAGCTCAGTGGTAGAATGCTTGCTGAGCTTGCATGAGGCACTGAGTTTGATCCTCAGCACCACATAAAATAAATAAATAGATAAATAATAAATAAAGGTATTAAATCCATTTATAATAAATTTTAATTATAAAAATATATATAAATATATGTGTATATAACATTTTAATGTTTTTCTTCTCCCTAATATTTCCTGGAATAACTGTAAGATCAACTTTGGATGAGAGAGATAGGAATCTAACATCTTAGTTTAGGGTTGCTCTGGAAGAAAAATATGCAGCTCAGACAAATTTATAAAAACATTTTTAGAGGGCTGGGGTTGTGGCTCAGTGGTAGAGCATGTGTGAGATACTGGGTTTGATTCTCAGCACTGCATATAAATAAATAAAGATCCACTGACAACTAAAAAATATTTTTAAAAATTTTTTTTAAGTTTTTTTTTCTGGGAAAATATATTCATATTATGTTGTCAAATGTTAATCATTCCATGTGTTTTGTGTTTTTAAAATTCAGGCTCTCATTGAAGATAGAACCAGGTACAAGCACACCACGTTCTGCTGCTTCCAGGGAAGACTTAGTAGGTTAGTGTGTTGCTTTCTGTCTTTACCAAATAATAAATCAGAATACGTGATAGGAAAGAATAAACCCCAGAGCAAATAAATACTTAGCAATCTTGTAATGCATGAGAAAAAAAATGCTTTGGGGAATAAAACCCATCAGTCTTTCTTGTCAGTTTTTTTTCTCTTGTTTTTTTTTTTAATTAAAAAGTTACTTGTATTTTGTCAGTAATACACAAATAAATGTTACATAATCAAGAAAAACAGATACAACAGAAAAAATAGGCAAGAATTTAAGAATATAATATTCTTTTTTTAATTGTTTTTTAAGTTTACTTGATTACTGGGCCAAGTATCCAAATATACCCTACTTTACCTGTTTTCTTACAATAGGGATATTATTGGTACCACAAATAATTTTTAAAAAACATTAAACCACTCACTATTAAGAAATAATTAATAAGAGCCTTTTTTTGGAGGTGGGGGAGATTCTGGGAATTGAACCCAAAGCTTTATACCTCCTAGGCAAACACTCCACTTCTGAGCTATGTCCCCAACCTGATAAGTACCTTTTAAAGAATTGCCAGTGCAGTCTTTCATACAAGCTTTCTGTTGTATATTCTAAGAATATTCGAAGTCCCATCTAACATGATGTGAAGAAGTAAGGGAACAAGTTGTGACAGTATCTGGGAGAGAGCACAATCAGTTTGATCTCTTAAATTTTCTTTTTTTTAATACTTATTTTTTAGTTGTAGTTGGACACAATACCTTTATTTTATTTATTTTTATGTGGTGCTGAGGATCAAACCCAGGACCTCACACTTTGCTAGATGAGTGCTCTACCACTGAGCCATAACCCCAGCCCTTAAATTTGCTTCTTTAAATTCCTTTCTTAAAAAATTTTATTCATACATTATAGTTATATTTAATAGCAGATTTATTGTGCCGTATTTGAATATATACATAATTCCCTCAATCTCCTTCCCCAGGACCTTCCTTTTCCCTCCCTTCTTTTCTGCCCCTGCCCACCCACTTGTTCTGCTGATCTCTCTTCTATTGTTTTTTATTTCTTTTAATTCTTAAAGTAATATTTTGGAGATCTGTGTGCTTCTGAGTAGTTTTTTATTCCCATAAACTCAAGCAAAGTGTCAGTGAAGGAGTATAATTTCTAACTTGAATGCATTCTAAGAGGAAACTGAAACAATGAGCAAAGAAGCAATGTATAAAAATAAAAAGCACTGAACCTGGGACTCACAACCTGGGCATTAAGTGCAGATTTTGTCTGTGAAGTGAGATTCCAATCTAATCTCTTCTAATTCTGCTTCTTGCATTGTAAGTGGAGGAATTATTTACACTGCTTCTACTTAATCAAAGCAAGATGGAAACTAATGGATTTTTATATGGTTTGGGATTCCATGTTTTAGAATTTAGAAAATAAATATTTCTCATGTTCAAGTCAGTATAGAACTAACATTATATTAAAATTTAAATCTCTTTTTATAAACCAAGGGAATAAAAATAAAGTAATCCTTTGAAACTATTTGAAAATATGAAAATTTTCTCCCCCTCTCTCTTTTAATTGAACCCGTAGGTCCTGAAGTAGGAGCATCACCCCAGAGTGGAAGAAAAAGTGTAGCTGCTGAGGGAGCCTTGCTGCCACAGACACCCCCCTCCCCCCGGAATCTGATTCCACATGGACACAGGAAGTGCCACAGCTTGGGTTATAAGTCAGCATTCTTTATCTTATCTTTCAGTTTTTTAAGTTATTTATAGTTGAATTTATTTCCTATTTATTAGTGGAACAGAAAATAATGTCCTTGCATAGTTTTTGGGTTGTGGGTTTTTTTGTTTTAATAATACTAGTCTTTCTGATTAAATAAAACATCTTATTTATCTAAAATAATTTATTTCTTCCGTTACCTGAGTTTGGAAATTATCTGTCCTCAACAGTCCCTATATTTTTTTAATATTTTTTTTAGTTGTAGATGGACATTATATCTTATTTATTTATTTTTATGTGGTGCTGAGGATCGAACCCAGTGCCTCACTCATTCGAGGCAGGCACTATACCACTGAGCTACTGCCCCAGCCCCCAGTCCCTGCATATTTGAAGGAGATGAATGATCATTACAAAGAGCCATCATAAATAAAACTGAGATAGGAGTGTACCATTAAATCATAATCTTTGTATCAAAACAGTTCTTGTTTTGTCTTAACTAAAATAAATAATAAGGTCTAAAAAATTATTCCTAAATACACACAAAGGGAAAATAATTTATTCTTTGACTTCATTCGTTTTGCAATATTGTTTTTCAAAAAAGGGGACCATGTTCACCTCTGCCATGGTTTTTGTGAAAATTGAATAACTTTTCCCTAAAAATGTTTAACAGTTTAATGTACCTTAGGCTCAAGATGGAATTGAAGTATGTTCTAATTATATAGGTAGATATGTCTAGGTTTCCTAAAAAGAAAATTTTTCCTAAACTGTTAGTTTGTAGCTTTTGTGGTAGTATCTATGTTCATTACTATGAGAGTTCAGAAATAAGTTCAGGATAATGGGTAAGTCTTGAATGTCCTGAATCTTTACATAAAAATATTTTTTATATCCTGGAATGGTAACCTAGTAAAAGTTGTGAAAATTTTTCTCTTTGTTTCCAGTTTCATCCATAAAATGAACACAGCAGAATTTAAGAGTGCAACGTTCCCAAATGCAGGGCCAAGACATCTGTTAGATGATAGTGTCATGGAGCCCCATGCACCATCTCGAGGCCAAGCTGAAAGTTCTACTCTTTCTAGTGGAATATCAATAGGTAAGAAATATTTCTCTAAAAGGTTTATTCTCTAAATGAGAATTTAAATAAAATTTAGCTGTAATAAAATTCATTAACACTACCATAAGTAGAGAAAATTTGATTTTTTAAAAAAAAAGGTAGCAATTATATACAGGATAAAGGCCATATAATTTGTGATGGTTTTTAAAGTACTGTTTTAGTCCAGAAGAGGACGTATTTGAACACTGGTGGGAAAAGAACATAACTGGCTGGATTGGTGAACTGCATGCAGTTTGTGTTTGGGAATGAAGATGAGGGTAAAATTAAGATGATTCCAAGTTATTCAAATTAAGCAACTGCTTAGATGTTGGTGCTCTTACTAAGGTAGAGAAGACTGGAAGAGCAATCATTTGTAGGTAGTGAGGTGCTTGTGTAGCATGGCCCATTTGGGGGAATCATGAATGATTTGGGACATGTTTAGTTCGTGTAGTGTCAGGTTGTTGAACTACAAATCTGGAGCTCAGTAGTAGTAATGTTGTTTCTGGTGATAGAAGTATGAGAGTTAGTGTATATACAGTATTTTAAGCCATGAAACTTGTTGAGTTCACCCAGGGAGAGAGTATAAATAAGAACACTCTTACATTAGGAGGTTAAGTTAATTGTTTTTTTAATGAAAAATTAACTGTCAAAGGAAACTATGAAGGGGAGATCAATGAAGCATGGAAAAAAAGTGTCTCACAGAAGAGGCAAGTGCTAAATGTAGCAAATATCCAAAGCAAAAAGGAGAACTAAGATGGTGATGATAGTGAGCTTTCTGTCACTATACAAATACTTGAGATATATCAACTTCTAAAGAGAAAGGTATATTTTGACTCACAGCATGGGAGATTTCAGTCCATGATCTATTGACCCTGTTGTTTTGGGCCTGTTGCAAGGCATCACATAATGGCAGAAACACTTTACAAGACAAAACCATTCACCTCATGGCCAGAAGTAAAGGAGACCAGGGTCCCACAGTCTGCCTTCAGGGCATGCCCCCAAGTGACCTGAAGACCTCCCACTAGTCTCCACCTCCTAAAGGCTGTATCACCTCCCAATAATGCCTAATGGAGACCAAGACTTAATATATGTACCTTTGGGGACATTCCACACCTACAAAATAGCACATGAGAAAGGGGACTTGACCAGGGGGATTCATCAAGATAAAGGCATTGGCAACCTACAAGAGAACTGCTTCATAGAAAGTGGAGGCAAAACCATGGTTGGAGTAGATTTGAAAATGAGAGATAAGGAAACAGCTATTCTGAAGGACCCCAGGAAATGGGGACCACATTGGGAAATGATGTGAGGTTAAAGAAGGTCTGGTTTGTTTTTATTTCCTAAACATTTGTTGATCTTCTGAATCCTCTAACTGAACATTCTTTTTTCATAATTAGAAAATGTACCCATACTATGTTGTTACTATTTTTAAAAAGTAATAAAAGGGGAAAATGTCTTTCTCTCTGATTAGCTACCAGGTTGCTTGAGGGCTCAGCCTGTTATTGTTAATATGATCATCTCATTATTCATGAAAAGCCAATAGAAAGATGCAGATGGAGATTCATTTTCTTGCACATCATGACTTCCTTAGCCCTTCAAAGTTCCAAGCTCTGAAAAGGAAATTGCTTCAGAGCTCTCCAGCACCATTCACCACTTGTTTATCCAATGTTCCCTTTTTGATTAATGCTACTAATTAAATGACAAAAATTTTTTAATAAAAGACAGTTTTAGCACCTGAAATATCTCCTTATTAATGTTCTAAGTTGCTCATGTATAAATATAAACCTCAATCTAAAAAATAATACACAAAATACTTTTGGAAAAAAAGATTTTTTTTGTACATAAAAGCTAGAGTTCAGTATGCCCCATAAAGCAAAAAAATAATTTTTAAAATTACTCCTGTCAGATACATACTATTTGACTTTTTCCCCATCAGACTCTCTTTTTGCCTTTATGGGATTTTTTTTAATTTTTTAATTTTAGTTCTTCCAAGATTGTTAAGTAGCTAAACATTAAAAAAAATTCCATTCTTGTTTGTAAATTAAAGTTATATGGGCATTTTTCTTCCAAAAATTTTCTTTTTTAAATCAAAAGCTTTAGCTTTAACATCAAAAGGAGTAAGTCTGTTACCATAATAGGTATTAATAGGCATACAAAAAAGTGGAGATTTTAGTTGTAAATTTTATATGCAATAATAGTCTATACCAGTGCGGAGACAACAGCCTCAAACCTTCTCTAATGTGGTGTATGTGTCCTGGATAACCTAAATATTCTTGTTTAGCTAAGGGAAACTGATTCACTCTGAGCTTTATGCTTCTGGAAAAGCTTACATTTTCTACAAATAAGCCATACTAATTATGTTTAAAAGTTTTCAATCTTGACTACATAATGCTGTAAATCAAAAATTAATCTACAAGATTCCACCATCACCTCCACCACATTACCTCTGATTTCTCATCTTAGCCACATGATATAGAAATTTGTTTAGTGACCTCTGCCGCACGACCAGCACACTAGCTTCATACTAGAGGTTCCAAACATAGAAGTTAACTAATGAGATCAAAATAAAGACACATGAAACTCAATTTACCTTTTTCTTGCCCAGCTAAGAGACGGCTTCTCCCGGCTCCTGCCTCAAGCCACCTGGCTAAAGCGGGGTTTACACAAGAGACCAGCAGGAGAGAGGAAGAAGCACGCCAGAGAGTGGGCTTTTGTTGGGGAACAAAAAATTCAGGGGAAAATTCCATCCAATGAAGGTCGAGGGGGACAGCATTCCAAGGTCAGGGTCAGTGATTGGTTTCCAGGTCAATGGTCAGTCACACCCCCACACGGACAAGCCCTCGAACCTAGAAAGGGTGGGGAAGGCTCTGACACAGCTGGTCTGAGCGCCTCACAACCAGTCAGGGAGGTAGACCAATCACGTGTGAGAATGGCTTGCCACAGTGACCTTTATCTCAATTCATCCAAAAATGATACGTAATTAACACATAACCAAATATGAGAGTTTAAGTCTCTTGTGGAACCTTGCTTGTAAGTTTGATGGACTACTCAACTTGCCATATTAATCATCTTAACTTTATTCAGAGTCAAAATTAAAATTACTTTTAAATCAATCTAAGCTATTGTGGATTCTTCAAATTCATTCCCTTTCAAGTTTTTTTCCAACTAATTTTAAAGTTTCTATTTGAATACCATTTTAACAAATATTCTGGCTAAAGAGGAAATTGTTACATTGTTACAGCAGCAACTTTTTGTTTTTATTTTTAATTTAGCAATACTGTTATCTTCAACCTTGTTTCTAAAGACAAAGAAATTAATTTCATTAAGCTTTTTATCCTTTGGGTGGTATGAGTTTTGTTACAAAAAGAAATAAGTATGCCCTGAACTTTTTAGGATTTTATGATTATATTGGTCCTAACTTACAACAGACTTGTAAGAAAAATTTTGTCCTCTGCATTCTCTGATGTAGAGAAATTTGTTTCTTAACATAGGAATTTGAACTATAAGTAGGTATGCAAAAATATATTATGCTATTTTGTTATTTTAGGTAGTCTTGTCAACTGCATTCTAATAGGTTGCAAAATAAATCTAGTAGCTGTAATATTAGAATAAAGAATTACTATGTGGATGTTTACCCACAATGTGATTGTTGTTTTATAAGCACAGAGAATTTTATTTTTTAAATAAAAATCCAAGTTTGGAAAGTAATTCTGATGTTTGAATAATAGAATAACTTTTGATTTTAGGTAGTAGTGATGGTTCTGAACTAAGTGAAGAGACCTCATGGCCTGCTTTTGAAAGGTAAAAGTAAATGTCCATTTGAACTGCTTTGAATTTATTTAGACTATCTTAAATAATATGATAATATGGGGCTGCATTTGTGGCTCAGCAGTAGAGCGCTTGCCTTACACATGTGAGCCACTGGGTTCGATACTCAGCACCACATACTTAAACAAAATAAAGGTATTTTTTTTTAAATATAATAATATGAATATCCCTAAAGGACTATTTAAGTTGCTTGTTGGTAAAAGAAACAAGAAGTTGATATTTAAGTCTGAAATTGTAAGTAATGAGATTGATTGTTGATAGTTTTACATGTTTATTGGTATCTTTAGACATATTTGAATATTAAATACATTTAATATTGTAATAGTTTTTAATAATAATAAAATTTCAATAATAACCAATTATAGTTATCTACTCATATATTCACTTGCACATTCAAAAATAAAATTATTTCCTTAATTAAGTCTGTGTAATTTTAAGAAATACTAAGGCATTTAGTGTAATGGTCAACTTTATTCACTTTGTCAAGGGCACATTGACTTGGTAAATTTTAAATTGTACTATATATAAAACAGCTTGAAGTTTAAGTTCAAAATTTTAGAGAGTACAGAGTCTATATAGTATTTGGTACTGCAATATCAGCTGAGCTCCCTTCTTTCCTTGTTGCTTTAAGCTATAAAAACTATCATCTATGTGGAGTAAATATGTTGTGTTGAACTTTAAATACAAGATTTCCCTGAGAATGTTGCCAGACAGTTTAATAGTTCAGGATTCTTACATATATCTGACCACTTCAGTATTACCATTGTCAGACTCAAAGTCTCTATTTTGTATATAAACTACGCAGTAAATTTCTAAGCAACATTTAAATTGTATGTTACTATCACAGGAAAACTGGAATTGAAAATATTAAATATTTCTTTAGGGATATTCGTATTATTATACTTTTTTAAAAAAAAAATACCTTTATGTGTTTACTTATTTAATTCCCTACCAGTGTCTTTTTCATAGAAAACAAATTAAATTTGAATTGATTAATTTCAGGTTTTTTATTTGGGAAATTAGATCCTTGTTCCTGATAACTTCATAAAGATTTCTCATTATTACATGATAAGATTTTACTTATAAGCCCTATATTTCAAAATACTTGTTAATCTTTTCTTCTCTAATTATAGTGTTCCCAAGTTGTGTTCTAATTTGGGAATTCTTTTTTTTAAAATATTTATTTTTTAGTTGTAGTTGAACACAATAATACCTTTATTTTATTTATTTATTTATTTATTTTTATGTGGTGCTGAGGATCAAACCGAGGGCCTCGCACATGCTAGGCAAGTACTCTACCACTGAGCCACAACCACAACCACAACCCTATTTTGGGAATTCTTAACAGTTTGTTTTTTTGTATTGTTTCTCTTCCCACTTTTACTTTCATTCTCTAAATTTGGGTTTGTCAGAAATGGCAAAAACACAAGAGTTGCCCTTGGTATGCTCTCTGAATTTGTACAAATTGTCTTTCCCTCTAGAAAGAGTATCTTGATTATAAAGTGTATTATTAATTTTTAGATAAAAAGTACTGAGTAAGCCAGGCATGGTGACACAAGCCTATAATCCCAGCAGCTGAGGAGGCTGAGACAGAGGATCATGAGTTCACAGCCAGCCTCAGCACTTAGCAAGGCACTAAGGAACTCAGCGAGACCTTGTCTATAGATAAAAATACAAAAAAAGTTGGGGGGAAGTGTTACTGGGTGTGTGGCTTAGTGATTAAGCATCCCTGGGTTCAATCCCCAGTACCAAAAAAAAGGTAAATGAGTAAGAAAATTGTTTCTTAAAACATTGTTTGAGTTATAAGTGAGTACCCTAGGGTGATGGTGTTACTAAACCCTTCTCATCCCAGCAGGTTACGTATGAATACAGTACTTAATGGTGTTATCTTCACATCTCAAAACATTTTATCATTTACAATACATGTTTTCCTTTGCAAAAATGTGCAGCTAAGCTGGACATGGCAGCACACACCTGTAATCCCAGTGGCTTGGGAGGCTGAGGCAGGAGGATCACGAGTTCAAAGCCAGCCTCAGCAAAAATGAGACACTAAGCAACTTAGTAAGACCCTGTCTCTAAATTAAAAAATTTAAAAAAAAAAAAAAGGTGCAGCTAAAAAAAAAAAAAAAGTGACAGTTTTAACTCCTTTTGTCCCATTGTCCCAGATGTGAAATACCAATGGAAACTTAAATATAGTATATGATACAATTGCATAATTATAACAAGAAGAATATAATTAGATTATAATAATATATATATATATAAGATCTAGATTATTATTTCTAACATTGTTTAATGCACTTGTATCAATTTCACTGAAATAGAGAAAAAATGGAACTTAATGAGTTAAATTAGTGGCTCTTGGAGCATTTTGTAACTGTAAAATGGGTGCTGCCCAGCAAAATTCGGTCATGAAATAATAAGTGAATATAGAAATAAAATTTAAAACATTATGTGTGGATAGGGAACTTGAAAACAGTACCCTGAATTTTAGAATCATTTTCTGTTCTTATTTCCTATAGAGACATCAAATATGTTGTTGCTTAAGATACTAAAACATTGTCTTTTATTTTAAATATCATTTGTCATTAATGCTGCTTATAGCTTTTCCCAGGCAGAGTAGTATCAGTGTTTCAATGTGTTTGTATTTATTTCCTTTGTTAAGTATGAGGTGGCATTTGGGGTAAACACTAGCTCATTCTTTTTTTGTCATTTATTGACTTTGTCAATTGATGTAGAACTAAAATAATAAGAATAATATATTTATTCTTCAGTTTGTCTCCTTTCTTTTTTTATTTGATTTACTATCAAGAATAAAGAGATTTTCCTATTAGTTTTAAGTTTGCAAGCCACATTGCTTTTAGGTGTCTTCATAGGGACATGTAATAAATATGAATTATATAAATAAATCTGGGCATCATATTTAAACTGAAATCCAAGAAGTAGAATAGAAATAAGGATTTATGGAACATTGTTCAAGTTTTTATATTATTTGGCTATTTTTAATTCTTTTGGTTGGCAGATTTGCAAAAGTGAATGTATATATAAATGTATAATATGTATTTCTAGAGTCAGTAAATTGTTTTAAAAAATCATGCTGCCTACTTTAAAAAAGAAAGAGGAATAATCATATACTGTCCTCTTGCAAGATTTAGAAAGCCTTGCAAGTTTTAGAAAGCTGTATTACATGAACAAGCTATTATACTATTCTAGATGTTGATGATTATGTGAATGAAAGTATATATAATACATACAATTTATAATGGAATCCAACAGGAACAGATTATACCATTCTCTCGGCCCGGTGACAAGAGTGGCACGAAATGGCTATCGAAGCCACGTGAAGGCCAGCAGGTACAATTCCCCTGTACCTAGGGGTCACAGAAATCCCCTCTGGTGTTGGTGATTGGCATACATGGGTGTGGTCTGACATTATTTCTGTTCTTTCTCAACTAATTGGTTTTCAAGCTAAACAAATTGCCCATGAAAACTTTCTTTTTAAGATTGAATGTAGAGATAAATTTAAACCATTCTTTCTGATCCACAGAGCTAATTGCTAAAACTTGCATCTTTATGTCACATTTTTCTAAATTGTTTCCCAGTTGATAACCTTTTAACTGCACAGGTCTTTATAATGCTACTAGCTATTGGATGAGCAATTTAAAAAATCTGCTTGTTATTCTTCAGCTACAATCAAAACATTTACTTTGCTAATAATTTTACATTTGATTGTCTTTTTTAAGAATTTTTTTTTCAGATAAACCACAGAACTTGAATTTAAACACGTCTGTTTCACTAAATACTATCTGTGTATTTCAACTCATATTCATTTAGGTCTTCATTTAGCTAAACTGGGCCTCTTTCTGCCCATATTAGCTATGGAAACAACTAAGGATGGGTCAGTGATTGGGATATGGGGGTGAGTTATGATGGGTAATCAACCAATCCAGAATACAGCAAGATAGCAAGCTTTAGGTCAATTCAATAGAATCTAATCTTCCTTGAATATAAGTACTCTAGCCTGAAGTTTCTGCTGGCTTCTAGGGTTTTTAAGTCACTTTGAAGACACCTAAATAATCATAAAGGAATAAACTGGAAAACTTCTGTTTTCTTTGTTGTTGTAGTAATTCTGCATCTAATATCAAATCACCAATGACATTTTTATCAGTGTGTACATCTTATTTGATTCATGTAGAACTCAATTCTTTATATGTGGTATCTTGAATCAGTTGAAGAAAGATATTTAAATGTTGAATTATTTTGTGATCATTTTTAAAAAGATTTATGAAAAGGAAGTCTGGAGTTGGGGTTGTTCTTTTCTTGGAGAGCTGTTAGACCATAATCAAAAACCACTTATGCATTGGCAACATTTAAGTGTCATTAAAAGCCAGGTATTAAAAGCATATATCTGCAATCCCAGTGACTTGGGAGGCTGAGGTGAAAGGATTGCAAGTTTAACACCAGCCTGAGCAACTTAGCAAGACCATGTCTCAAAATATAAAAAGGGGGCTAGGGAAATAGCTCAGTGGTAGAGCACCCCTGGGTTCAAGCCCCAGTTGGATGGATGGATAGATAGATAGATAGATAGATAGATAGATAGATAGATAGATAGATAGATAGATATTCAAATGTATTGTAGAAACCATTTTTAAATGTGATTTTTGCCTTTTTTATTTTAGAATTAAGCATGAATCTTCTCTTTTCCTCTTTTGAGCTTCTGCTCTTTTTAATTTTTAGTTTATATATTTAAAGACTTCTAACAAATAGAATCTTCATCTTTCTTACCAGGACTTAAAATTTCTAATCAGGAAAATAAAATTACAACAGTGATGCAGTGTTGCATGATAAAAAGAAGAAAAACCTTAAATTCTTAATGTAATCTTTATTAAAGTGAATTCCTGCATTCTTTCTCAGTTATACTTGTTCAAATATGTAATAGTGTGTTTGTGTGTTTAGCCATCTGCTGACTTTAGTAACTTTATGATTAACTTTTGTGGCAGCTTATAAATTTTGGATTAATAAACCTTTAAAATTGTGTCATCTCGACTCTGAATAAAGCAGCAAAGTTTTAAATTAATAATAATTTTGTTTTATTTAAGTACCTAATAAATGACTACTATCGACAAAAGCTCTTACTTGTTCTTTTTTTCATTTCATTATTACAGTTCTGCAGAGTCTGAAGATTTGGCAGTACATTTGTATCCAGGAGCTGTTACTATTCAAGGTGTTCTCAGGAGAAAAACTTTGTTAAAAGAAGGCAAAAAGCCAACAGTAAGATTTTATTATGTTATATTTTAACACATCTCTAAAAATGTGCAAATGCATAAAATGCTGAGAAGTACTAAATAGTTAAAAAAGAATCGAGTATGTAGTAGACCTGAAGTAAACTAAAATACACATTTTCCCCACCATATTCCTCAACACCTGTCGTGCAGATTTCAGGTTAATTATATGTTAATGGTGCTTAAATCAAGATACTACTGTACTTCTCTCTACCTTTTAGTGTAATTCTTAAACAAAACTTAGATAACTCTGAAAGTATATCATTAAGAAGTACTAGAGGGCTGGGGTTGTGGCTCAGTGGCAGAGCGCATGTCTTGCACATCTGAGGCACTGGGTTCAATCCTCAGCACCACAAAAAAAATAAATAAAATAAAGATATTGTGTCCATGTATAACTAAAAAATATTTTTTTTTAAAAAAAGGAATAATACTAGAGTAATATGTTTAGGAAAATAGAAAATAATAACAACCCTAAAAAATGGAAATTGACCAATTTTATTTCAACACTTTATTTTAATCTCTTTAATGCATACTTGTTTTCTTACAAAATATAACTCAGATAGTAAATGTTTTCCAAACTATAACTATAGTGAGGGAAAAAAAGCTTAGTGGAACAAAGCTTTTTATCTATAGCAAAGAAGTTTATTCTTTCCTGACATCAGCATAGTAGCTTGACTACAAAAAAGAGCTCTTTTTCTTTTCTCAAATAACATTATAGCTTATCTAATTTGCAATATAAAACCTTGGACATGTTATCATATTTAAAAGCTTTTGAAAATATAAAAGTTTCTTCAAATATAAAAATGGTTTCCATCTAAATAATCTTATTTCACTGCTTTTATCACAATAAACCAAGACACACAGAATCAGGAAGCTGCACTAGACCATCCAGTGAGTTCAGAATAGAGTGTCAGATTTGTAGCTTCAGGCACTCTTGCTCTTGTGCCAGAAGCTACAAATAGGGCAATGAATGCCTCCTGGAGATTAGTTCCAATAAGGAGAAACAGTGTAAGCCCTTAAAATAAGGCCATGGGGTACAGAATGATGATGGTGTGGTAGGAGGGCATTTGGCCAAGATCTGTGGAGAAGGTGAGTAGCCTGGTGCAGTTAAACCTAGAGACAAGTAGGCCTGTGTGATTGATGCATTAAAAGTGCAGGAGATGGGGGTGCTGGGATTGTGGCTCAGTGGTAGAGCACTTTACTGGATTTGATTCCCGGCACCACATAAAAATAAAAACAAATAAAATAAAGGTATTGTGTCCATGTACAACTGAAAAAAAATAAATTAAATTTTTTTAAAAAGTGCAGGAGCAGGGCTGGGGCTGGAGCTGGGGCTTAGTGGCAGAGCGCTTGCCTGGCATGTGTGAGGCCCTGGATTCAATCCTTAGCACCACATATAAATAAATTTTTAAAAATTAAATAAAGGTACATCAACAACTAAAAAATATATTTAAAAAAGTGCAGGAAGTCAGGCCAGAGCTGTTTGGTGATGTTACATGGAAATGAAGGTGACTTCTGGATTTGGGACCTGATGAAGGTGGATGTTGGTAACATTTTTTCTATGAAGGGGCCAGCTAATTCTTGGCCAAGTTCCATTTGACATGTTTATTAAACATTCAAGTTGAACTGTCTGTTTAGCTTTAAAAAAAAGTACAGTTGATGAGTTCTGTAGAGGGATGGTGGCCAGAAATAATAATTTGGAAGTCATTAGCATACAGATAGTATTGGAGGTATGCAGCTAGATGAGATAGATTATCTAAGAAGAAAGTATCACTGAGGAAGAGAAAAAGCACTGAAAAGCTCTGTGGCATCAAAAGTCTGTGATAGGAAGACTAAAGGAAAACAAAGAAACTCATCCCAGAAACCTGACAGTTAAAGTACTTCAAGCAGGAAGATCGGTCAGCTGAAAGGGCCTGGATATACAGCCAGACCATGAAATTATAGGCATACTTGCTCTAGGAGATTGACTGTGATAAGGACAAAGCCTTTGGTAGGATGTCAGCAGCCAGTGACCCCAACAGCCTAAAAGCCAAATGAAGTAGAAAATAGACGAATTAGAAGTAGGGACAGGGAATTAGACATACCCTGAAATAAGTAATGCTGTGAAAAGGAGCAAAGAAATTATGTGGTGTCAAGAGGGTGAAGTCCTGGGAGACAGGAGGGACTTTTAAGGTAGAAATTCTTTTGTATGATGATGGTGGAGGAGGAGATGCAGTGGAGAGCAGCCATATTATGGCAAAAGCAGACCTGAAAATGAGGCTAGTGAGAATCAAGGGCACAAGAAGAAAGCTGAGTTTGTCTTTACATAGAACCGGCTTAACAGTCTGTTGTAGCAAGAACAAAGGCTGAATATATGGATCTACAAAACAGGTGTAAGGAATTCACACTGGGAATGTGAGGTGGTTCTCACCTCCAGGAAGTGTGTCATGACATGGAGGGAGATTAGGGTTAAAATTTTGAGGAGAAGGTAAAGAGTATGTTGACTAGATTGGGAAAAGGAAAATGGCAATCCTAATTTTATCACTTGGCATAATCATGTTATTTCTTCAATAATATTCAGCTACTATGATATGGTGCCAAGTACTTAAATGGGTGGATTTGACTAGGGGTTAGGGTTTTATCGGGATAGAGGGGCTGAGGACTTAAAATGCTGGTGGGAACTGGCTGTGGTGCTAAACCATGGAATTATAGCCTACATGAAGAAAGGGGGAGGATGTGTGGCAGCAAGGAGGCAGTGGCAGTATGAGACAGGATTCTTGACGAGATCAAGAATTAACTGATGGCTGGGAATGGAGCTTAGTTGTAGAGCACTTGCCTGGCATGCACAAAGACCTGGGTTCAATCCCCAGTACCATCAAAAGAAAAAAATATTTAAGAAAACATGAATGAGAGTATATGAGCTGAAAGTGATAGAATTATTTGAGACAATGATTTCAGAACTGCTACCACTCAACTCTGAGGCGAGGACTATGTGGTTGAAGTGAAGAGTGGATCATGGGCACTAAGGAAAGTAAAGAAACTGAGAAGTCATAATATTTTTTTTTTTTAGAGAGAGAGAGAGAGAGAGAGAGAATTTTAATATGTATTTTTTAGTTCTCGGCAGACACAACATCTTTGTTTGTATGTGGTGCTGAGGATCAAACCCGGGCCACACGCATGCCAGGCGAGCGCACTACCACTTGAGCCACATCCTCAGCCCAAGAAGTCATAATATTTTAATAGTATATTTGTGTGTTATTCTCTCTAGGTAGCATCTTGGACAAAATACTGGGCAGCCTTGTGTGGAACACAACTTTTTTACTATGCTGCCAAATCTCTGAAGGCTACAGAAAGAAAACATGTGAGTATTCTTCTAAATTTTTAGCATTGTTTTATAGACCTTTTCGTGATTATAAAGAAAATAGACCTAAAAAGTTGCAAGAATTTTTTGTTCTAACCCAGAAGTTCTTACACTTACTTCTGGTGTGAATACTGTAATGGAATTATTTTTCCTTACAGCATACCAAGGGAACATCTTGGAGTAACCTCTTTGGGGTGTAGTTTCTTTTTTGAATACCATTTTTCCATTGCAAGTATCAAACTGCACATTACGAATATCTATCTTGGCATGAAAGCTTACTCACCTCTGAGATTGTGGTTTAGTTGTAGTCTCATTTCCTCGAGTAAAATGTGAAAATCTAGGACCAACATCTAAAGTTCTTTCCATCTCAGTCTTGGATACAGTGGTCTAAGTTCTGTTTTCCTGTGCTCCATGTCACTTGACAGAAGCTCCTCTGTGCTCTCTTCTCAAGGTAGAATCTCCCTGTAAATCCCTTTTGTATGCTGTTTTGTGTTATATGCCAATGATACAGTCTTTGAAAGGGAGACAGTTTCTCATGTTACATAAATAAAGTCCCGTTGAGAGAAGTTTTATTTCTTAATCATGTGTTTTGGAAAGGGGAATTGTTTTACCCTACCGAGGAAAGACAAGCCACTAAAGAAAACTTATTAATTTCACAAATGATACTGTGTGAATCGGAGGTGTTCTTCTTTATCCTCACAGTTTTAGCCCTTAATCAAACCAAAAGTATAGAAAAGGGCAGTTTGGGTTTAAATGGATGTAGGAGGTGCTATGAGATTGCATTGCCTTCCTTATCATGCATTCCCACTAACATGCCGCTTTCCTAAGTTTCGTGTCTTGCTTTTCTTAAGGGTGTTATAATTTGTGTTTCCATAAATAACACATTGTAGGGGCTATGTGTGTGTTTTGTTGTTGGTGATGGTCATTGAACCTGAGGCCTGGGGCAAGCTAAGCTCATGCTCTACCATTGGGCCACATCACCAATTCCTAGAATCAGATAGTCTTAAGCAGTGGCTTTTTGCTTACTATTCTAGTGGTTCAGGTAGCTCTTTTTTTTTTTCCCCTAATAGAGAGGTTTTTAAAAATATTTTTTTAGTCGTCAATGGACCTTTATTTTATTTATCTATATGCAGTGCTGAGGATCTAACCTAGTGCTTCAATACTAGGCAAGTGCTCTATCACTGAGCCACAACCCCAGCCCTTCAGATAGTTCTTGCATTGAGATAAAGGACTGAGTGAGTGATCATGGAGATCCAAATTCTGTGAATATACTTCGTGTTCTGACTCTTCTGAATGGTCAAATGTAGTTTACAAATGAAAGCATATTCTTTATAAAAGGAGTTTTTAATAGAATGGTGTTCGTTGTCGGTAATAATATTAGTGATGCTAGTATACCCTACAAAGTCACACTGATTAGTTTCATTAGCACATTTTGCAGAGTGATTGTCTCTAATTAGTACTCTGTATACAGAGGGAGAAAAAAGGTTGTAGTTAAATTGTGCCATTTGTCTTCAAATGTAGAGCAGGTAGCACTTCGAGATACTCGTTGGTTGAATTTCAGTTGGTTGACAACTTTAAAGAAGTAGGTTTTCAAAAATAAAGTGGGGTTTTGTTTTGTTTTCCTTAGGTTTAATCAGAGCTAAATTATAGAAGTTATAACTGAATTTGTCATATAGTGCATCTGCTAAGCATTGCTTTCTGTTTGGCCTTGCCACTTAATACATATTAATATATACTAATCCATTATTATAGTTTGAAGTTAATTACATGAGATTTCTTTTTTTTTAATTTTTTTTTAGCTGTAGATGGACACAATATCTTTGTTTTATTTATATATTTTTGTATGTGGTACTAAGGATTGAACCCAGTGCTTCACGGATGTGAGGCAAGCGCTCAGCCACTGAGCTACAACCCCAGCCCCTACATAAGATTTCTAATAAATGATGCATATGAAATAATTTAGAAGATGGCAGATTGTAAGAAAATAAAATTGAGTACCCAGAAAATTTAATATTTAAGCTATTCAAAACAGGATAGAAGGCATAGAGACAGGTCTGCATCTATATTCAGTATTAATTTGGGGATTAGGAGTGATATGGCACAGAACTAAAAACAATGAAGGAAAAAACAGTTTTGAACTGATTTCAAACAAAATTAAAACACAAACTGAATGAAAATATCTGCTATAGATAAGCAACAGATAAAATCTTTATTATATATAGCACCACTATATTATATTCTTGCCAAAATATTTAACCTGAATTTTATGAGGAAGCAATCAAATTTAGGCTGTGGGACATTGTATGAGACAGCCAGCCTGGTTTCTTTTTTGTTTTATTATTCTAATTTTTTATACATGATAGCAGAATGCATTTCATTTCATATTACACATATAGAGCACAATTTTTCATTTCTCTGCTTATACACAAAGTAAAGTCGTACCATTTGTGTCTTCATAGATGTACTTAGGATAATGATGTCTATCTCATTCCACCATCTTTCCTACCCCCATGTCCCCTCTCTTCTCCTCTCTCCCCTTTGTCCTATCCAATGTTCCTCCATTCCTCCCATGCCCACCCCCCCACAACCCCCATAATGGATCAGCATCCACATATCAGAGAAACCATTCAGTCTTTGGTTTTTTGGGATTGGCTTACTTCAATTAGCATGATATTCTCCAACTCCATCCATTTACCTGCAAATTCCATTATTTTATTCTCTTTTAATGCTGAGTATAGATACCACAGTTTACCCATTTATTTATCTATTGAAGAGCATCTAGGTTGATTCCACAGTTTAGCTATTGTGAATTGTGCTGCTATTGAAGGACTACAGGGCCCCAAACCCAACGTTAGGAATTCTAACCCCTGTGCCCTATAGGATGTTCCCATGTACAACTCCCATGTTAAAGCCCCACAAGCTGCACGTAGCACTTCCCAGCTGCACGTAACACTCCAAGCTCTATACAATGCCACCACCAGATGTTCCATATAGATAATCCTGGGAAGGCCAAGCTTGAGCAAATAGAGTAAAAACAGGAACTAAAAGAATAGGATGCAATTTATGGGTTTCTTTTCTGAGAACATAAAGTGGAAAAAACAAGTTTACCCCCCAGGTGACCTAAGGGGCTGGACCTAGAGGAACTTAGATAAACCAATAGAATAACTGTTACTGTGCTAGGCTGAAACCTTGCCCCCTGCTTCCTATAAAAACTCTGTACCCCCAAGCCTGTGTGTGCCGGTCACCGAAGCTCCGGCTGAGGTTTTGCTGTGCACCCACGGGCGCCTGTGTGAGAATAAACCCTCCTGCGGTTTGCATCCAGTGTCTCGCGTGGTCCATTCCGGGTTGGGGGATCTGGGGGGTCTTTCACTATAAACATTGATGTGACTGCACCACTGTAGTATGATGATTTTTAAGCCCTTTGAGTATAAACCAAGGAGTGGGATAGCTGGGTCAAATGGTGATTCCATTCCAAGTTTTCCAAGGAATATCTATACTGCTTTCCAGATTGGTTGCACCAGTTTGCAGTCCAGCAATGAATGAAAGCAAAGAGTGTGATCTTTTCCCCACATCCTCACCAACACTTCTTATTGTTTGTATTCTTAATAGCTGCCATTCTGACTGGAATGATATGGAATCTTAGAGTAGTTTTGATTTGCATTTTGCTAATTGCTAGAGATGTTGAACATTTTTTCATATATTTGTTGATCCAATGTATGTCTTCTTCTGAGACGTCTCTGTTCAGCTCCTAAGCCCATTTATTGATTGGATTATTTGGGTTTTGTTTTTTGTTTTGTTTTTTGTTTGTTTGGGTTTTTTTGTTTTGTTTTTGGTGTTAAGTTTTTGAGTTCTTTATATATCCTAGAGATTAGTAGAGATTAGTACTCTATCTGATGTGCGTGTGGTAAAAATTTGTTCCCATTCTGTAGGCTCTTTCTTTGCCTCATTGATGGTTTCTTTTGCTGAGAAGAATCCTTTTAGTTTGAGTCCATCCCATTTATTAATTCTTGATTATATTTATTGCGCTTTAGAACTCTTGTTAAAGAAGTCAGGCCCTAATCTGATGTGATGAGGATTTGGACCTACTTTTTTCTCTGTTAGGCACAGGGTCTTAGTCTAATTCCTAGGTCCTTGATCTACTTTAAGATGGATTTTGTGCATGGTGAGAGATAGGGGTTTAGTTTCATTTTGCTGCATATGGGTTTCCAGTTTTCCCAGCACCATTTGTTGAAGACGTTATCTTTTCTTCAATATATGTTTTTGGCCCCTGTGTCTACTATGAGATAACTATATTTATATGGGTTTGTCTCTGTATCCTCTCTTCTGTACCATTGTTCTACAAGTCTATTTTGGTGCCAATATCATGTCATTTTTGTTACTGCAGCACTGTAGTGTAGTTTAAGGTCTGGTATAGGGATGCCACCTGCTTCACTCTTCTTGCTAAGGATTGCTTTAGCTATTCTGGATCTCTTATTTTTCCAGATGAATTTCATGACTGCTTTTTCTATTTTTATGAGTCATGTCATTGGGATTTTGATTGAAATTGAATTAAATCTGTATAGTGGTTTTGGTAGCAATCAAATTCAGGTTGTGGGACATTATATGAGACAGCCAGCCTGGATTCTTTTAAAAAAAAAAAAAAAAGGCAGGTAGAGGAGATGTTAGGGGACAGTCATTCTAGACCAAAAGATACTTGACAGCTAATTGTAGTGTATGTAGTTCTGGTTGAATCCTGGAGTTAAATCCTTTCTCTAAAATACAATTTTTTGTCAATGGGGATCAGAGGAAGTTTGGGAAGAATGTCTGGGAAGAAAGAAGGGACTTTATTTTTTAATGTTTATAAATGAAAGCAAACGCATGTAAAAATAGTTTTTAGTGGAAGTGTATTTATTATTAAGAAAATTCATTGATATGTTTGAACCTATCACTACATGGTAGTGAGTGAAAAAATATTGTTTGGTTAAATTTTTAAAATCAAATCTGCACTTGAAAAAACATTCTGATTAAGAATAAAACAGAAACATGTCAAAGGGAAATATAAGATGAAATACAGATAGGTAACGGATAGGAAAAAAATAATCAACCTTACTAGTTACTAAAAATTGCAGAAGTCACTTTTTTGATAATATTGCATTGTCCATGGAATAGGGAAACATGTACTATGATTCATGGTTATCAGAAACTTAAATTTATATTGTTATGGTGAGATCAATAAAAGAACCATTACAGTTGAGTAAAAACCACAAGTCAGAGTATAAACAAACTCCCATTGGTATATTAAAAACCAGCAGCAAAAATAACACAAAAAAGTAAATGCATAGAAAAAAGATCTGGGGTGTCTCACCCCAAATGATGATGAATCCTGGGAGCAAAATAGGATTCAACTGGGGGTCAAAGGCCATTGCACTGTATTTATAGATTGATCCCTCTATATTGAGGGGCTTATTGCAGAGATTTTTGAGAGATAAGAAAAGAATATTAGAAACCATATTATCACCCAGCACCATGGACCAAGCCTATAATCCCAGCAACTTCACCATGGCCCATGCCTATAATCCCAGCAATTTAGGAGGCTAAGGCAGGAGGATCACAAGTTCAAGGCCAGCCTCAGTGATTTGGAGAGGCCCTTAGCAATACAGACCCTGTCTTAAAATTAAAAAATAAGAAGGATTGGGGATATAGCTCAGTGATAAAGCACCCCTGGTTTCAATCCTTAGTGCTGAAAAAAGAAAGAGGAAAAAAAATCTTACTATCTGCTTTGAAATAAATTGTGAGTCTCAAGTCAGCTGTTCTTTGGTATTGCTAATTTCATTCCTCATAATATTAAAGCTTATTTCTTTAGCTTTTTTTTAAGTAACTATATTGTTACAAATGTGCCGTGTTCAGTCCTTTTTCCCACTTCTTTTCATTGTGAAACATACATACTGTAAAGTAAATAGGTACATACATATTTTAAAGCAAAGTAAATAAAATAAACATGTATTTAAGTTCTATCCAGTTTAAGGATCAGAATATACCAGACTATCAAAGCCTCCCCAGATTAGCATCCTCTTCCTTCCCTATCAGCTGTCCCCACAGCCCATCACTGTCCTGAATTTTGTGTTCCTCATTGCCTTGTTTTTTCTTAGAGATTTATATTTGCTTCCTTACACAATACTTAATTTTATTTTTTAAGTGTACTTGAATGGGTCACATACACATTCTTAAGCACAAGCTTTTTTGTCTGTTGAGATTCGTTATTGTTGATGCATATAGTTGTCCTTTAATCGTTTTCACAACTGAATAGTCTTCCATTTTATGAGTCTACCTTGATTTATTGATATCACTCTATTATATCACTAGTGAACCTATCACTACATGGTAAATTTTTAGTGAATATTTGAATGACTTCCATTTCTTTACTATTTCTAACTGTTGCTGTGAATATTTTTTTGCACAGGTTCTCTGGATTATGTATCTGTGGGATGCAAATGTTATTTTACAAGAATATACTAGATTAAGAGTCACAGTCAGGGCTGGGGATGTGGCTCAAGTGGTAGCGCGCTCGCCTGGCATGTGTGTGGCCCGGGTTCGATCCTCACCACCACATACCAACAAAGATGTTGTGTCCACCGAGAACTAAAAAATAAATATTAAAAATTCTCTCTCTCTCTCTCTCTCTCTCTCTCTAAAAAAAAAAAAAAAAGAGTCACAGTCACCAGTAGTAGAATGAAGTTCATATCTTCACCATACTTCTTATTGTTAGGCTCTTTAATCTTGGCTAATCCAGTATGGATAAAATGTTGCCTGATCATTTTAATTTGTATGCCCCTATATACTTAACAGTGTTTATTGGTTATCCATGTTTCTTGTTCTGTGAAATGCCTGGATAAATCTTTACTTACTCTAATTGATGAAAGTTCTTTATATTTCCCAGATGCAAATCTGTTAACAGTTATTTGTTATAAATACCTTGTTCCAATTTGTTTAACTTATTTTTTTACTCTCTTTATATAGTGTTCTTTAATTTTTTTTTAGTTGTTAATGGATCTTTATTTATTTATATGTGGTGCTGAGAATCGAACCCAGTGCCTCACACATACTAAGCAAGCACTCTCCTACTGAGCTAGGACCCCAACCCTATATGTTATCTTTTAGCAGCCTTTTTACACACTGCTAGAGTCAATATGACAATATTCTAGCGTTTTTGTTTTTTGTTTTTGTTTTTTTCATTTATGTTCATGAATGAGATTATCCTTTAACTCGGGCAAGTCATGCTCTGAGGGAATGGAAAATAAAACTGAAGCTAGGAAGGTCTGAAAAGAAGTGGGCTGTCTGAAGAGGGCAGGCCTACATGCAGCCTACTAGGAAAAGGCCCAAGCTGACCTGGACCAGCAGGAAATTGCAAATTTTTTTTTTAAGCTGTAGATGGACACAGTACCTTTACTTATTTATTTTTATGTGGTGCTGAGGATCGAACTCAGTGCCTTACATGTGCTAGGCAGGTGCTCTACCACTGAGCCACAACCCCAAACCAGGAGGTCACAAATCTGACCTCTCATTAGGAGAAACTGAAAATACACTCTCTGTCTCATAACTTTTGCCCTAAGTATTACTAATTGTTTTTACTAATTATCTTTTTGTCTCAGTTCAAATCAACATCAAATAAGACCGTCTCTGTGGTGGGATGGATGGTGATGATGGCTGATGACCCAGAACATCCAGACCTCTTCCTGCTGACAGACTCTGAGAAAGGTGAACTGTTAGCGTGACTAGTGTTGAAGATGCTGTGTACCTAACTTGAGGAGCTAAAACTGGTTTAATGTTGAGTGTTCCATTCAACAGGGGACGTGATGGTGTGGCTTTTGTCTACTAGGAAGTATTTTTGTCACATAATGTGTTTTAATGAACCCAATATTTTTAGAGCTTATTTTCCCCACTACATAAGCATAAACATTAAAGCCCAAGTAATCCCTAAAGGGATAACCAGGGAGGGAGGGAGGACTTCTGAGGATATCAGCCCCTGTTACTTTAAAATGTCAGCCATTGCCCTGCAGGCAATGCTCCCCTGCCAAGCCCTCCAGTAGGAGGTTGTTCTCAAGTTCTGAAAGTGACAAAGTTTTTCTTTAAAACTCTTTATTTCATTATTTTAAATTAATTTGTAGGCTCAAATCCCTTTCCAGTTAAGATACTTTATAAAACAGAGACATTTGTGAATACAACAATCGACTATTAACCATTGGATGTCATAAAATGGAAGAGGTAAAAATGGGTTGGGTTTTGTTTTGTCTTTTTTTTTTTTTTTTTTTTGAGAGATGGTCTCCCTAAATTACCCACGCTGGCCTGGAGCTAACATTCCTCCCACCTCAGCATCTGGAGTAGCTGAGATTAAAGGCACAAGCTCTTGTGTCTGGCAGAGGAGAAAAGTAGAGGGTGGACTGTGTAGATCACTCCACACCTCCTGGCTCTTCTTGCCCCTTCAGTGAATGCCACAGGGTCCATGGGAGACTCCTTCCCTGGTTGCTGCTCTTCCCTAATAATGGCCACCATTATTAGTCCACAAGCACCACAGAGGAGGCCAGAAGAGAGATACTCGCCACATCTGCCAAAATCTTCCACTCCAGCAATTCACAACTGAACTCGTTAACTTCTGTTGACTTTACAACTGTATCTTGACCTGCATTTATTTAGTTGGTATTTTGTATCAACAGAAATTCTGTTTTTTGGATGCTATAGTTTTAAGTAAAAAATTAAATCTGTATTTAGATGCAGAAAAAAAATAATCATAGCAAAATGTCTTGTTTTGAGGGAAATAGATTGATTTACACAATAAGCATTCCCTAGTCAACATTCTCAATTAAAAGCCCCAGCCCCACAAAATCTCAAAGGCATTATTTATAAAATTATATTTTAGAGTAAAATCATTGAATTTTGCTAAGAAATTCTTTGTTTTCCTTAGCATACTTAATATTGCCAAGGTTTTCATAATGTTTGTGCTGGGGATTGGGGTTGGGGTATAAATTGTAGCTGTGACCAGCTTAATTGTAGATGTGTTCTGTTCTATTGACCTTAAGTCTGTATCTGAATTCAGTAATCAAAACAGTGTTATCTGACCTAGTAAACATTGGGTGAAGAAGAAGTTGCTTCTGAAATGAAAACTTTTAAGTGTTAAAATCTCAAAGGAAAGCTGGATAATATTTAAATCTAGTCAGGTTCCTCAATCACTGAAGGCAGATATAAAGGAAAGTATACTTCAGAAGAATTGTGAAATAAGAACTTAGATCAGTGAGAAAAGTAAACAAAGCTCAACTCAGAGCAGCCTTTAGTACATGTATCTTTCTCATTTTATTCTTTACTCATCTTAATATATATAGCCATGTAAATACCCTTAGTGTGTCAGCCTTGATTAGTCAGCATAGGAACTCCTGAAGACACGCCACACAATGATTTCCAATTTCATAAAAGAGAAAAAAGACATCTTAGACATTTCCAGTGAGCCCCCAGCAGAACTCTCCAGTTCTGCAGTGATCCTGATAAATGACTGGTTGACTCAAGGCTAAAAGCTGAGCCCATGTTGATGCTACCTGATTAATCCTTAATCATGTTAAATAGCTAATGTTTATGTATTTTTAAATAACACAGGTTGAAGCCCTTTGGCTGCAAAAACTTATTAACATCCAATTTTAGATCATCTATCCACAGAGGCAAACCTGGAGAAGCCATCTTTATGTATATGTTATTTTAAAGATTATTTATAAGCTATAAAACAGTGACTTTCTGAATATAGGATAGCATTTGGATGGGTTACACAGAGAACTATTCTTTTTATTTGTAGTAGGAGACTAGGTATTAAATGAACAGGATCCTGAAACAGAACTCTAGTGATGTTTAATTCACTCTTTAATATCTAGAAGAGTTACTCTGTGTAAAATCCTTATCGCTTTCCACTTGTTTTTGGTAATTATAGGGAATTCATACAAGTTTCAAGCTGGCAGTAGAATGAATGCAATGCTGTGGTTTAAGCATCTGAGTGCAGCCTGCCAAAGTAACAAACAACAGGTGAGTTTTTTTCTTAATTGTCAGAACAGTTTGTAACTTGGGAATATAAAAAGAGGTCCAGTCAGGCATGGTGATGCACACCTGTAATCCCAGCTGCTTGGGAGTCTGAAGTGGGAGGATCAAGGTCAGTCTCAGCAACTTAACAAGACCCTGTCTCAAAATAAAATATAAAGGGCTGGGATACGGATTGGTGGTGAAGTACCCCTGGGTTCAGTTCCCAGTGCCTAAATAAATAAAGTTCCCAAAAGAAGTAGACTTGTTTTCTTAATGAACTGTGAAAATGGTGGTGTTTTTATTCTTGTTTATTCTTGTTAGTAATAGTCAACAAAACGTGAAGTTTACACTTTAGTCAGGAGCTAAATAATAAACAAGTAAACGAAAAGCAAAATTCCAATTCATAAGAACTATGTAATAGAATTGTGTGAAATAGAGAGTAGAGACAGCTTCAGATACCCAAAGCTAAATCCGTGAGACCTTCCCCCAAGGTGATGATAGTGACATGAATGACAAGAAGGAACCATCCATGTGAGGATTAGGGAGTGCAGAGTGCTGGAAAAGGGACCAGCCCATGCAAAGACCCTGAAGCTGGAACCAGCTTAGTGTTCAAGATAGAGAAGGGAGCTAGCATCTGTGAAGCATAGCAAGAGGACAGCTCTAGGAAGAGCAAGAGCAAGGTGGCCTCTAAATTAACAAAAATTGTTCCTATTCATCTTTGATTGATGGCCACTTGAGGTAGTTTCTGTGGTTGCAGTGAAACCAAAATCCCTCTTTATTGTATATTTTTGTTTTACTGAAACAAAGATGGTCTAATGGAAAGGCTTTCACTACAGAGAAGAAGGAATCTATCACATTGTTTTTCTCACTGTGTTGCAGAGTTAAGATTTGAATCACAAATTGGTAGATAACAAGTAAATGTAATTACAAAAATTTCTTTATACCTTTCATAGAACTAGACTCCAGTTAAATATATTTAAAAACCATTGACTTAGGGTATTGATAATGCCAAAGAACACAGTAAATGTTATCAGTAGCTAATTTTGAATAATATAATACTCTAAGTTGAGAAAGCTTATAAGTATTTTTTACCTTCTGATATTAGGATTCAAGTTATTACCTCTTAAGAAACTGAGGCTCAGAGATACTGAATCACTTAGGTAGATCAAATAAGTAAAAAGCAGTAGACCTGCAACATGAACTTTTTAAGTCCATTCTTTATGAGTATTGTTGGAGTGAGCTTTGTTCTCTCAGTTTTATTTCACTTCTTTGTGAAAGACTAATATTTTAGTAACCTCCACAAAGTACATGAAATACAAAAGTTCTTTTCTTGCCTGTCACATTAGTATCTGGGACAGAATGAAACAGATCTTTTGCCCAAGACAAAAGCCTTTCAGGATTCAACTTATACGCTACATGTTTTCTTTAAATGGAGCTTAGGAGCCAGGCATAGTGGCACACACTTGGAATCCCAGCAGCTCGGGAGGCTGAGACAGGAGGATTATGAGCTCAAAGCCAGCCTCAGCAACTTAGCGAGGCCCTAAGCAACTCATTGAGACCCTGTCTCTAAATAAAAATATTAAAAAGGGCTGGGGAGATATGGCTCAGTGGTTAAGCATCCTTGGGTTCTATCTCTGGCACCAAATAAATAAATAAATGTAGCTTAGGGTAGTAAGTCTTGTTTATTAAAAATAACCCTCAGATTCCAAGATTAATCTAGGCAGTATTTACACGCCAGCATGGAGGCACAGTTTCTTTCACTGTGTATTGGTAGACCTTCCTGCTAACAAAGTCAGCCAAATGTGCATAAATAGGTTTGTTATTTTATTGTTGTTTTTTTGCTCCACATTTTTAAGAATCAGGGTGAAGCAAACTTACAAAAAGAACCTGCAAAATTTGAAACTTTTTAGAAGACTGATTAAAATGCAAAATACCTAAAATGACAGATAATTTAGGAAGAAATGAGACTTTTACTCTTTACTATGGATTTTTTAAAACCAAACTTGGGAATTTACATTTTAAGCACATGAGCATTGCATTATATTTGATTTATAATTCAGTTGTGATTATATTTCCCATAGAATTCTCATTCAGAAGCTGGTACATCTAAGAAACACAGGGTTTTGAGTATAAGAGCTTTCAGAAAGAAAGACAGATGACCTGTGAGAACTGTTGAGCTGTGTTAAAGGACAGGGAGGAGATCACTGGTATACAGAGAGCCAGGGCAACCTGGAAACAGTTTTCAGGACTGAGTGGATTTGTTTATTCGTTTTTTGTTTGGGGTTTTGTTTTCTTGTTTGTTTGTTGTTGTTGTTTTTTAAAAAACCTTTTATTAGTCCTTTAACTGTAGAATTCATTAACTAATTTTTAAAAATGAAAAGCATTTCAGAGAATTATTGAATTTCAGACTTTGTACAATCTGTAAGTAGTAAATTATTATAAAACCTATTGATCTTTCAGAATCATAAAGTATTAGATCAGAATTGTGTAATGAATTTTATTCTTTTCACAAAGAAGGTCATAATGATTTTAATAATGATTTCATAAAACTGTTCCTAATAATCGTTATAAAAGCATCTGTGATGATTTTTAAAATGTGCATGTAGGAATTGATTGTGACATATAATGAAAATGATGGCTTTCTGCCTGTCTGGAATTTCATCCCTGTAAGAACCATAGTTAGTTCATTCAGTAAGCACCTGTGTGGAGCCCCCATCTTTCTTGGCTTTCATGGAGCCGAGAAAGATACCCTTTCTGCCATTTCCTCCTGTCTAGATATCAATTTTTTGAAAGAGCAAATTAATTTAGTGATTTTTCTCTCTAAACTATTATAGCATATTACACTCATTATTCATAAATTATTGAAATGCCTTCTAGTGCATTCCTTTAAAATATATGTAAGTCAGAAAGATTTGGGCTTGCCTAAAAGACAAGGAAAGATAAGAAATACTAGTTTGAAGAACAGCTTTTAAATTATTAATTTGTGATGCTTATATATTTCAGGTTCCTACAAACTTGATGACTTTTGAGTAAAAGCCTGAAGAGGAAGAAGTGGAGCTCTGCTCCTGGGTAAGAGCTGGGGCCTGACGGAAAATGCCAGCGGCAAACCATCCTGTGCCAGGAAGAGCCCACGGGCTCCATCCCAGCCTTTGGAATGCTGAACCAAAAAGCACTCATTTCAGGGAATAAAGTGAGATATTCCCAGAGAACAAATTGGAGTTGCAAAACAAACTGCCATGAACCATGCTTCTTATCTCTGAACTGACTTGTGGAAACCACTGCCTTAAAAGAGTGAAAGGAAAACCAACATGAAACACCAAATAGTGTGTGTGAATCTTCTGGCGGTGCTGTGCTTGGGATAGATCATAGCTAATTTCCATTTCTTTTAACTTTGTACTAATTTTGGAGGGGGGAATCATCTTTTTTTTAAGATACACTTTGAAAAGGAACATGTTTCTTGTGGATGGTACCAGGAGCTGGTTTTGAATGTGGTGATACTCAGATACTTTAATTTCACGGGATTTTACCAGCACCCCACCTGCGAGGTTTGTTCAGACTCCAGTAGTCCATATCCTCACTGGTTTTCTCTCACAGCAAGAATGTAGGATTAGAAATGTTGATAATGTAAGTTGTTGGGTTTGTTTGGGATGGGGGAGGAAGGGCTGGTTTTGGTTGAGGGGAGATCTTTTTAAACACTAAACTTCTGAATTGAGTACTGTATGGGGAACAATATTTCCTGCAGGAGACACAAAGCCCGAGTGTTCATATACCAGTTCTTTAAAATAGGTTCTAGAAAACATGGTTGTTTCTAACTGGGTTTCATGTTTAACTTTCTGTATGAATTCAATGTTGAATGATAGATCTGCTTAGTAAAGAACTGTAATCTCAAACTTTCCTGAGAAGGATTTTACAATGACTAAATTTTTTTTCAAGTTAATTGGATTATCCCTCTCCCAGTTTCAGGGAGTCATCAAGGGTGATAATATTGATATTTTGCCAGGATATTTTCTTTTACAGTGTTTAATGTGCATAATGCCAGAGTTATTTTTTTATTGTTTGTTTTGTTTTTGTTCAGTATAATATTCAAGATCATATTTGTTTAAAAGAATCCTCATAAATATGTATGTATTTGATCATAAGACAGTAATTTTAAGAGGGATAAAAGACAAGTTTGAGGATCTAGGAATTTTAAGTATTAAACCTTTCTTCCTTTTATGACTTACCTTAAACATACCAAAACATTTTTCTAAAACCTGAACTATAAGCCCTTGACATGAACCTATATTGTCAGTAGTTAACCAAGAAGTTTTGAGAGAACTCTTCTATGCAACAATGCATCCACTTTCTAAAATAAAACGTCGAATTTAGAAGTTAAAAGGTGTGATACCTTAGAATTTTAACAAAAAAAATTGCACCTGAACAAAACTGTCAGATGTTACAAACTCATGAAACATCATAAATTTTAGCAGTGGTCCAGAGTAAGAAATGTTTTTTGACTGATACCTCCTAATTGACTTATTACTTTGGGCCTCATATAAAATTTCTCACATTTATTTTCTTAGCAAATTGTATAAATTTTATTGTAAGTTTCGCCCTCAAGTCCAAAAAACAAACAAAAAATATTGTGTATACAAATAATAAGCTTAAAATGTATCCAAAGGAAAGTAAAAGAACTTTTTCTGAGTGTTAAATTTAATTTCATTTTGTGTTTGGAAAAGATGTTAACAGTTCAGATAGATTTCTCATATAATAGTTAGAAATACAATTTTTCTGGGTTGTAGTGACACAGGCTGGAGAGGGCAGAGTGTTGCCTGTGCTGAATGATTTTTCAGTTAATGATCTAAGCTTAACCCATGTTGGGTGCCTAAAAACACCTGCATAGCCAGCAGTATTACTATGTAGACCTTGCACATCTTACTTCTGTTTTGCATTTTTTATAAATTTCTTATTTTGTTTATTTCTCTTCAGAATAACATTTTTAGCAGTGTATGTGCTTTCCAAAAAATATTGTGAATAAGAACCCTGTGGATTTTTTTATTATTATTTGTCTGTCATAAATAAGCTAAGGGTAGGTATGTTGTAAGTTAACCATATCTGGGAGATATGCAACTGGAAGTCAGAGCCTGACATCTCACAGTTTTGCCAAAGAGAGCAAACTAAGTTGGAAGATGTGTTTGATATTTTCAGCTCTAAACATTAATGAGTGCTTGTACAGAGTAAGAATAGTGTTCACATTTGGGTAATAGTCCATAGACAGAGTTGTGGCCTCTGACTGTCTGAAATTTAACCTAACAGTACAGTAGAAATTGTTATTATCTTTCTATCTTCAGATTTGTCTACTCAAAAGATTACTCGTTTCTTTTTAAGATTATTTGTAGCATTTGAAGTAAATTGAAATCGGTGGGAAATGAATTACAATAGTGTAGGTGAGTTTTTGACCTGTCATTCACAAAATATCATCTGGCTATAATTCAAACAAAGAAAATATAAGTCACCAAACAATATTGAATATTTAGGTAGTTTGTTAGTAGGAAGATAAATCTTATCAAACCTGCCCTTGATTGTAAATCAATGATCCAAAAACTCAAAATTTTCATCAGCATTAAACTCATTTTTTACCGTAGGCAAGAAACTCAGTTATTATTTAAATTTAAGCTGATACATAAGCATAGTGATTGGCATATCAGTGGCATGAGGTAATAGTATACAGAATTAGCCACAATACAATTTGAGGCACATCTCATGTAACAACTTATTTGAACATGGAAGCTTATTTTCTATATGAAAGTAACATATCAGTTTTTAAAATATAACTGTAAAACCATCACCTAATGCTCTTCTGGGCACTGTTTTTGGTTTCATGTATCTTCTGTGTTCAGACTTTGCTTATCTTTGATAGTGTTATTTTTTAAACTGTAAGAATTGAAAGACAAATGATCAAACACACCTTCCTATTCTGTTTTCTTCACTGTGTAAATATTATTTGTACAAGAATTACAAAAAGGGATCCAAACAATTTGAGTTGGAGTGTTTTTTCTCCCTAGGCATGTGCTTCAATGGCAAATATTTGTCTGTGTGAAAATGCCATATAATTACTGCACTGCCTCTTTACGGGCTGTATTGGTATTGGGTATTTCTGTATATCAACTCACAGTGTTTATAGCTGCAAAGTTTTTATAAACAGCTTTTTTTCCTCTTCTAGAAGATTCATAAGGGAGCTCAAAAAGACCTATTGCTATAGAGAGTAAAAAAGAGTAGTCTCTGGTAGATCTGTTAGTTGAACCTGGGGCCCTCTAAAATTAGCAGCCTATCATTCTCTTAAAATCATTAGAATTTACTTGGGCAAATGTTTAGCATCTGTCTTTTTTCCCTAAGGTTAAATCTGTACTGCTGTATTACTGAAGGACATCATATTAGGAAATCATTACTAGTAATAGATTTAATCCATTGGCTTTTTAGAATAGCATATCAATTATTGATTTCCTTGTTTTTTTAGGCACATTCTTTTACAACCAGGTTTTAAACCACTGTATTATTTTCTTCTGCAAGCACGGGGTGCCAGTGTTACTTAACAGGAGATAATCTTTAATAAAAAGAAACCCTCTATCTCAAAGGTCTTTGAAATGATTGGATCCCTTTTTGAAAATTAAGGTTATTTCCCCGCTGTGCTGGTGGAATAGGAGTGCTACTGTTGTGTGAGGAAGCAGTGAGCTTTGTCTGACTTCCTTCAGTGACCTTTTAGGGTTTGCTTTTGTTTTTCTCTCTTTTTTCTTTACTTCTTTCAAAATTAGTAAATTTATGATTTTACAGCCAGAGTGTATTCTGTTTTTTCTAAGCCTTTGAGATAACAAAAATTGCTGCTAAATCACATTGATGATAAATGACACATTGATGATAAATGTGGACGTTTTCAAAATGATTTAAGTACCTTTTGATTTTGTTCTCCTAAAAATGGCTTGTGTCTAAAGTGACTTTTTTTTTTTCTATTTAGAGGGTTCTAATGAAAGAGAATTGTGCATAAAACTTTTAAGCTTATTGAAACCAATTGCATTATACCTATATCTCAAGTTGTAATATGGTGAAATTTTGGTCAGTGCCTTATCAATTTGAAGACCATTCTTAGGGCATTGAGTACAATTTGCCCTCTTAGTTCAGGAGCATGCTGTCCACCATCTTAATCTTACAGCAAGTCTAAGGATGTCTGTGCAGATCCTCCAGGTGCTTGTTGCAGTCCTCCTTGGGTTTTGAGTCTTTTTTATACAACTTTCTCCCTGCTTCTCTCCTTTCCAGGTAGGAGAATGAAAATAAATCCACTCAAATCAATCTTTTGATAAGCACTCAAAAAAAACAGCTTTGAAGAACATCCATCCAGCTGGGTTCATTTTTTTCTCTTGTTTGAGCATAGAGTTAATAATAATCAGCCCCTCTTGGAAATCCCTAAAATAATAAATATCCAGGAAGATTAATTTGGTTTTTATTAAAGCTACTAGAATCTTGTAAGCACAGTTCCTATGGCCAGAAATGAGATTTTATTTGCTTCATCTTTATATTTAAATAAGACTCGGAATGAACAAGCAGTCACTTAACCTACCAGATATAGCTTACCTGAAAATATTTGTGCAGCACAGTGAAAAGGACTCCAGTGTATAGACATTTAGAGACTAACCTAGCTTTCTCAGTGAACGCAAATCTCAGAAATACTTTTGTTTCTCTGAGATTATTAGACGACCTGGAGCACTGTTGTTTATCTGTGTCAGGATGCTCTTTTTTACACTTTTTAAAGGGCTATTATGTTCTAGAGTAACAAAGTAGATAAACATAGTATTTAAACCTAAATGAAAGGGTAATTGGTCCTAGAGGGTTATTAGCAGAATTTAAATTTTGATTTTAGCCATTTGAACTGCAACACAATGATGGGGTTAAAAGAATATGTAGAGTGCTTTGGGATGCAACTTTTTTTTCCTTAATAGAAAAGAAGAAAGCTTCATAAATATTAGCTGTGCTTTAGATGCCAAGTAACAAATATTGCCTCCCTTGAAGATACCCCCCATTAGAATGACTCCCATATGTAGTCCAATAATTATTGATTTAATAGGTATGACTGTAAAATAGCTGACTTATTAGTCACCAAATTCTCAGTATTTTCTCACCTTTATTATTGGCATTCATTGCGGGGATCTGGTTCCCAACATATTCTAAAGGAGATCAAACATCTGTGGGAATAAATACCCAGTGATGATAATATTCAGGAAAACACAAGCCATTTTTTTTTCTTCTTTATCCCAGTTAACTTGAGGTACTCTAATGAAGCATTCAATTGCATTATGACCTCCTTGAGTGATGTGCAACTTGGTTCCTCTCTCTTTTTGTTTCTTTTTAATATGCAAATGTGAGTGTGTGATCTTCAGTGTGTTTGCATAAGCTAATTTAAAATGAATTTAAGAACAGTTTTCTGAAATATTTCTATTGAAATAAATGACTTAAAAGTATTGATTGTGTAAGAATGTTTTGTTACCATATTTGCAGTTCTATGACTAACTATTTTATCAAATCCAAATCAATTTTAAATTGATTTTTCCCCTTTTCAAAAGTAACCTCAAGGATTGTTGGTCCAAGGCAAGTTCTGTGTAGATTTTAGTTGCTCTTTCCCAGCCCAGAATGAGGGTACACCATGTCATGTAGACCAAGGGGGTCTTAGAGATTAGAAGGCAAGTGTGTGTAGTATTTCCAACTGCCTCCCCACTGTGGATCTGTAATATGAGCAGCCCACAAAAGGCCTCTTTGCTGATTCTCTGTTCCATAGGTTATGCAACACATTGTTTCATTTTACTGTTTCGGAAAACAGAATCCATTGTCCAGCCTTTGGTGCTTTCAGTCAGAAGTGCAAAACTCCCTGTGTTGAGTCTCCTGTATGTCATTGGCTGGCCTGTTGGCCACACCCAACCTAATAATTCCATGGGAGCTCAGCTTCAATGTAACCATAACTCAATTTTCCACAATTATTTCACCTCTTTAGTAGCCTTCGAAAGTTTTCACTATTTCTTTATAGGAGCCAAATAATGGCAGTTCTCCAGAGAGGTCAGCCTGTCTTTACCTCACACACTGCCTGCCACTTTACATACATCAGTTCAACATGGACGCATAAGTTTCTGAGCCCATTTACTCCTTTATTAGTTGTCACCGATCCAGTATCCTATCAACTTCATTATCCTAACTATCTATGTGGTGAAGTAAGTATGTTCTTCAGAGTCGCCTTAGCTCTTCTTGACTCTTTTATCTTCCCTGTGAATTCTAGTATCAGCTTGTCATGTTCAGGGAAAATATTTTTGTTGGCATTGCTTTGATTTTTAGATTAATTTAAGAATTAGCCTGTTTTGAAAAGTTTCTTTTTTTTTTTTTTTTTGTCTATAAACATGGATTGTTTCCAATTTTCAGGGCCTTTAATATCCTTAAATAACATTTTACAATTTTATTTCCTCATTAATTTTATTATATATAGGAATGAGATTGATTTTTACATTCTTATGTTCAGAACCTTTTTGAAATTCCTCATCTAGCTCTTAACAGTTGGTCTATAAATTTTGTTGAAATTATAATAACTGCAAATAAGGACAGTTGTCTCTTCTTCTTGTCTTCGTTTGGCTAGGACTCCAGTACAATATTGGGTTAGATGCAGTGATAGCATGTCAAAGAAGAATTTAACTACCTAGTCTTTCAGAAAAACCTCAGTGTATAGCACAGCCCCAATGTGAACCCTGAGCTTATTTTGGTATAACGTAGCACAAATATAATTTTTTCTATTTTATTTTTAGATAAACCTTCAGCTTAAATCTCTACTTTTTCTTGCAATGCATATTTATAGTCTTGGGCAGAAAACGAGTGTCCATTTACTCTTGGCCACCACTGGATGACTTATTAGTGTATCCATTGTCAGTACTAAATAAAATACTAGGCCACAGAATATTGCAAAATCTAAGGTATCAACATGTAATTAAATTTCTTGCCCTGTGCTGCTGGTTCTGACATCAGAGGGGTCCAAGGAAGTCATAAGGGGGGGAACCACAACTTGGAACCAACCATCGTCTTGACATTTGTCCCAGAAAGAACTGCAGGACTGAGTCATTAAGCAAAGCACAGGTAAAAATTTATTTAAGGACAGCAGTATGGCATCCCCCCAGAGTATGGGGATCCTCAGGAAGACAAGTGACAGCAAGCACTCAGGTTCTGAGTCTCTTATTTATATTTTTATATATAAATAATATATAGATAGGTAGATAGATATGTGTGTATATGTATATAATTTTGATCCTAAGCAGGTAAGCTATTATATTTTACTGATTTGGAAAATGCCTACAGACTTGCTTGGAGATCAAGTCCCATGGCAGCTGCCCTATACTTGGAAGTCAGAAAGTTGCTCTTTGGTGTGTCTTGCCATTTGTCACTAGTAGGCACATTGCATAAACTTTTCAGGTGGGTGGCATTTTAATTAATAATATGTCTGTTCTCTTATAAGCATGCATTAAATATTCTGCTTATGTTTAACTGAAGAAGCAAACAACATAACTCAGGATGTTTTTAGAGGTCTCCATTTACTAAGGGTCTCTCCCCATTTTAAGGGCACATTTTATTTCTCAATTGGAAGTGATTTTGTCTCCCAGGAGATATTGTCAGTGTCTGTGGATTTCTGGTCATCACAATTGGGAGAGGGTTCTACTGGCAACTAGTAGGCAGAGTTAAGGAATGCGGTTAAATGTCCTAGTTGTAGGAAAGACTTCAGCTGCTGTTTGGACTTTGAACTCTTCCCTGGAAGTTAACCTTTTTTGAAGAAGTTTAGCATACTATATCTAGAAAGAAATAATAGCGTGTGAAAGTATTCATGACCTGAGCCATAATGTGTTATTCTTGAAGTTCTAGTAATGATAGTCAGCTGACTTACACTAGGTAGTTTAAGTGTTTCAGCCTAAAGGGTCTTTAGCATTCTAAGTGAGCACAGATCTGCAGAAATGTTCTTCTGTGTGGTTCTTGCAGGTCTGGGAGGATTATCCTGATAGCAGAAGGACAAAATAGACTTTGAGTCAGATAGATCTTTTATAAACCAATATGGGCTTTAATTAAACCAGAAGCTATTTGCTTTTTTGTAACTACTATTTGCTTTTTTGCTATCCTTATTACAAAAAGTCCAAGCTGTACAAAAAGGTATAGAGTGAAAGTTGCATGTCCCACTTGCCAGATTTCCCTCTCCATATTTAATATCTCATGACTCAATTCCTATAATCCCAGCCTAATTTCTTTCAGTCTGAAGACTTTGGATTTTCCACCTCTTTCAAACTTCTGTCCAGCTTAAGACCTTCACATATACTCTAGTACTGTCACAGCTAGCAGCATGAAAACAATGGTCCTTTTCTCTAAATAAACTCATGGTACTTTGGTTTTTATTTTTTATTTTATGGAGTTAGTTATAACATCATAAAACATCTGCATCTTACAAAGGGCATACTTGAATAAAACGGGTTACGCAAAGAGTCAAAGAGCATCTGAGTGCTGAATAAGCTAGCCGGCATTTCCGACTTTCCTGTAAAAGACAAGTAGCTCCAGATGTCAGAGCCCTTTGGCCAAAGCATCTCTTAGATGAGCCATTTGAAACTGTCAGTATTTAACCACTTCTGACCTGTAGAATAGAAATTTCATGTGGTTAATCCCACTGTTTTCCTTCGAGATTCAAATAAGTCACAAATCACTTATAATTTATTTCAGGAGCAATTACTGTTATAAAAGTTTGATTACAATAAATGTAGGACCTCCAAATTTGAGAAAACAATGTTTTTTCTGATGGTGGTGAAAGTTTGTGTTTTTGTTTTGTCTTAAACTAGGTAGAAACTGAAGGTGGCTCAATTTTTACACCTTAATTTGTTTTATACTCAGTTTTTCTCACTTCCTATCTACTAGTATCCTTTCTTCCTGGTTTTTCCATTCTGTGGGCTTTTAACCTGTCCACCTAAATGGTATGTGTTCTGGGGTGATTGTGTTTTACTTCCCTGAGTTAAAGCATAACATAAAATTAAATGGGCTAGGGATGTGGCTCAAGTGGTAGCATGCTCGCCTGGCATGCGTATGGCCCCGGGTTCAATCCTTAGCACCACGTACAAACAAAGATGTTGTGTCTGCTGAAAACTAAAAAATAAACATTAAAAAATTCCCTCCCTCCCCCACTCTCTCTCTCAAAAAAAAATAAAAATAAAAAAAAAATGATCCATTGAAAAGGATTCTGGGAAGAAATGGAGTAGGAAGCACCAGCAATTTGTTGTCCAGCCCAGACCACAGTTACACTGGCAGAGCTGTTAATAGAGTGGTCCCCCTGCCCACGTACTCAGGGTTTCATTTTACTGTTACTTGTATTCAACCACATTCTGAACAGATATTAAGTAGAAGATTCTAAAATAACACGTAAGTTTTAAGTAGCATAATAATTCTTGCACCATGCTCCTCCATTCCACCCAGGATGAGAACCATCCCCTTGTCCAGTGTATCCATGCTGTATATGCTACCTGCCTGTTGGTCATTTAATAGCTGTCTTGCTTATCAGACCAATTGTTATCTCAGTGCTTGTGTCCAAATAACCCTTATTTTACTTCATAGTAACACCAAACACAAGAGCAGTGATGCTTGCAATTCAGATATGACAAGCCATAAAGTGCTTTTAAGTGAAAAGATGAAAGTTTAAGGAAAAAAAAAAAATCATGCTGAGATTGGTAACTATCAAACTTCAGCCAGGCATGGTGATGCATGCCTGTAATCCCAGCAGCTCGGGAGGCTGAGACAGGAGGATCACAAGTTCAAAGCCAGCCTCAGCAACAGAGAAGCACCAAGCAACTTAAGTAAGACCCTGTCTCTAAATAAAAATACAAGATAGGGTTGGGGATGTGGTTCAGTGGTTGAGTTGGTTACAATTCCCAGTACCAAAAAAAAAAAAAAGTTTTAGGGCCTCAGTCCTCAATAAATGCTTAGTGGAAAAGGCATTGTATTTGTGTATGGGAAAGAAGGTAGATACAAGTTTTCAAGCATCCCCATTGGTAAGAGGGGACAATTGAAACTATTTGGAACTCTGGAGTTTATGGAAGGTTTACACTTTCCAGGGGAAATGGAAGTAAAGGGCAGTTTTGATCAATTTTACTCTGAGCACAGTAATCATTGCCCATCCAAGGCAAGCAGCTGTGTGTTCCTGAACTAGTTCACACATGGCTTTCAGAAGTCAGAAGGGGGTGTGGGGACAGCTGGTCAAGAAGATGTTGACCTCCAAATATCAGAGATCTCAGAGGCTGGTGGCCAGTGTTGCATCTCCTGCCAAGTCCCTTCACCTCTGCCTGACAGTTGGCTTCCACAGGATTTCAAGGCAGTCTTTTTCTATTTCCATTCTTCTTTTTCACCTTTGGGCAGACAGACATTAAAGACTGGGACATTCAAAAACAACTGCATATGTGGGGCAAATTAT